ATAATGTGGAAATTAGCATAGTAGATCACGGGCACTCGAAGACCGATCGCTTGTCTATATATTTCTATACAATACAGTGCACATGATTGTGTCCTTTGCTAGGCGTTAAGGTTTTAAATGGAGTATTTCGTTCGTAGCTCGGGTAAGCCCTGTCGAGAAAAGATACCTTCTGTAATAATATCGCTATCCTTACTGTAGTGAAATATTACGGATTACTTGCATATTTCTGCTGAATACTACCTGATTTACTATTTACCTACCTAGAATAGTAGTTATTTAGTGGTAAGTTAAGCAGGCGTTACGTGCCCCCTTTTATCAAAAGAGGGTATGTACATATACGAGCTGACTGTATGAGCTCCATTGCATCCAGTTTCAATATTCGCTATGTATTCTAAATCTTAAACACTTATATGCTATGATGTTGATTATGACACATTCTGTCTGACTGTCCTAACAGGAGGTTTATTTATTAATAATATTTCATAATCCTAGGCTTATAAACACAGCCAATAGCACGTTCGAGAACAAGCTAAGAACCTTATCTATCACTTCATTTCTAACTTCATCTAACTCGAGTTCCATCTGCAATCTTGGTCGTTTTGTGAAATAGACTCTCCATATTTTGACCTGGCGTGATGTATAAACGTACAAACAGTACACTAAGAAATACTCCTTCTAACTACGAAAAGCTAACGAAAGCAAAGACAATCGCTACGATGACAGAACCGGTAGCGCAGCGCTCCGTCGATGAGCGACCTTGTTTTAGTCAGCGCACAACATGTCGATTGAAAACTACACAGCTCGGCAGAGTTTCACTTCCGGCACCGGCTGCTTTTGTTGCCTCATCTCAGCTCAAAGGCCCATGTTCGCGACGCGTCCACCGACTATTAGCTCATGTTTTTCTGTTACAGAAATCTGATAATCTGTTGGTAGTACGCTTTAGAGGAACGTTTCCCTGATGTTTTCTCGAAATGACAGATTTCATATCTAATGATAAATCGCAGGGCAAACGAAGCGGATAAGGCGTTAGTGTTTCTGCTTACGTATTCTCGGTAGATATTGTTAGCGATAATATATATCGTAGCTTACCTTCATCCGCATATGGATACGACAACTCCACCTTTATTGCCACATGCGATTAACGATAATCCAGTTTTCATTGCATAGATGTCCCCATTGACGTTCTTTTTATCACCATCGTACATCGTTTCTATCTATTCCAAGTCTTGGTGGAAATTTTTTAATAATAGTTGTGAGAGATACAAGCTACGGTGCAAAGGGAACCGACATCTTCAAAACCTGCGTATCGTTGTTCAGAACTGGTATCATTGTATACCGTTACATATGTGTGCAAATCGGAGACGAAATGATAGGTAACTTTTCGCGCTGATATATGTCTGTTTATTCGTTAATGTAAAGTGTGTTAACTTCTGCCTTCAACAGCTATGGTTGTTTGTTGTTATGAATTTATCCTGGGAAGTTTTGTTTGGGCTAATGCACGCTGTGACCCCGTGATAGCTTAGTGGAGAATTTGTTTTACCAATTTTAGGCGTATATGGTCTCTATTTAGGTCCGAGTCCGAGCACAGACACACGATTCGTTTCGAGCTAGAAGCCAGTTAACCGTCTGAACATGAAACGCCGTACCGAACAATACCAGTGATTGCGTGACCGACATCCGCCTGAATACGAAGACGGATGAACTATCGCTTCCACGCAAATAGCTACGTGACTTCGGAGCAACTCGCTCAGCAATCGCAAACAATCTTTGGGCATTTTCACGAGAACGAACGTTCTCTGGGGGGACACTGTGGGCTCTTGGTTCAAACACTGCGGTACTGTCCTTCTAGGAGAGGACGTTCGAACGAAACAGATTGTGGCTTAAAGATGACGACCCAACGATTGGTGACAAATCAAATTCTTCTGATCAAAAGATGTGGATTGGGTCAATCCTTGTTCACTCGATACTGCATACCCAATAACCCAAACATCCCCGAGCTCAATAGGATAATCGATAACCTGAACACGATATGATTCGTCCCTCGAAACAGCCAACGTAGTAACCGCCCTCACTGGTTCTACTGCACGCTGAACTAATGGTGGACTTCGCTCTGATGTCGAATAGCGATCAGCTTTATTGTGTTTCTTTAAAGATTTGTGTAAAGCCGCTATTACGATTTCCTCGTTTTTGTCTATGTCGTCTAAGACGTTCATACGTGCACGCTGTCGGTGTAAGTTGGCCGCGACGTTTACGACGCGCGAAACGCTTGAACTTGAATGAAGGGAATTATTCAAAGAAGGGTGCTTCAGTTTTGCCGATTGTCCAGTTACTGGGCCGGGTCTTGGTTGGAATTTTGTAACCCTATTTCTTTTGTCCAGTACCGTTAGATTATATAGTTTTGTGTTTCAAGCTAATTTAGCTGGCGTTCGTAAGCGACATCAATTTTCGTTTTGGTCTTCTGTGAAACTTCAGTGATCCTGTACCGGATGGAGCCTTGAAATAAAAGAGCGCTTTCAATGACAGAAAAAGTTGGAGCAATATCATAAAGGATGTATGCAGTGAAGATTTAGATGTTAGACTATAGAACTGCTTTGAAAGTTCTTGAGAAAGACTTGTTATCGATAGTCCCATTAAGGTCGATTAATGGCTTATATCTTAAAGCACCTCTCTAGAATAATGATGTGCGTCGACCTGTCTGATGTTGCGGCTTAGTACAGGGTGGATCGGTTTAAATATGACGCACTTGTTTAAATCCGTAAAATAAAATAGTTGTTTCTTTTCGTTACTAAATATTTTTTACTTTTCATTATTTTTCGTCTCTTTCTAACAATCAAATTCAACTTCGCTTTGATATAGAAGCGTGGTTATTCTACATTCTATTAAAAGAGAGAGGAAACGATACGGTATTGTCGAAAACGAATACATTGCTAGGCAGAAAAGTTAGACTGGACCGACGAGTTCGCTTAGGACATCTAAAGTATCAACGAAGACTTTTAAAAACCTCACCTCAACAATTTCCGCGTACTTGCACCTATCTCCTATTGTCATCACCTGAAGTGTGTATCCATCATTTGATAAAGCAACACGACAAATCTCTCTGTGTATGCATGTCCCTACCGGTGTGCGCTTCCAAGTTTATACCCATTAAAATTCTACGGAAGCAGTGCTACGTTGTCATAATTCGAATGTTCCATTATACGGCCTTCAAGCCAGATCTTGAACTCCCTCTTTTGTCCGTTAAGTACATCAAAGCATTTTCGGAAGATTTTTATTCAGACATACGTAGAACCACAAAGACTGGTTTAGTAGTTTTTTTAATCTATTTTTATTTTTTTTTTCTTTAATATTATTACGTATAATAGCGTTTGAGTGTATTTCTAAGTGTCTTTGGAAGTAAAGGTAAACAAACGAAAAGGACAGTTGTAAGGGAATACCGTTTGGGGGTAAAATTTATTTGGCTGAGACGTCTCAGTTTCTAGTGAGTATGTTGACAGATCTTCGCATGTCTACTGTTATTACCTATGTGGAATAGTCCACGTTAATCAATTTTCTGCTATATATATATATATATATATATATATATAATGTGTTTAAAAACGCGGCTTGGAGACAATATTGTTCATATTTCAGTAGAAAAGCAACAGAGGCTCGTTGTCTCAGGCGTAAATTGCCGTTCACAGTTGCTCAGCCGATTTCCTTTAGCCAAGAGAAACAAAACCTTTACCGGTGCGAGTTACGAATGCCTATTCCGCATACAGAATGACCATCCCGTTGAAGTGATTGGTAAAGTTAAAGTGGGAACTGCGGGTAACACCTCGTAATTCGGCTTTCTCAACAACGCCAGTAGCACCCATTACTACTTTATTTATTCAGGAGGCAGTTCAGTGCTATAGCAACTCATACAGACATCGACAGGATCCTGTAGCGAACTATAGACGCCATGTTATTTTCTTTGCATTACGTCTTCGTCTTGAACTGGTAGTGATCGCCGCGGCCGCCTTTACGGCTGTCAGCGTCTGTAGGAAGCGTCATCAAAGTGAGCATACGTTTATTGCAGTGTTCACCCGGTGGTCGTATAGTTGATTACGCACAAGATGATACGCTGCCTACGGCTAGGCGCGCTACAGCTTTAACCGCTATGGACGGACAACTAATTGATTGCCTATACTGTTGGTATCAGTCCTTATTTTGCCACCTCGGCCTATCGATTCTTGCAGAGTAATCAGCTATTTCCATTCTTGTCGTTAATTGAGGACAACGGGTGTGGCCAAGAGCGGTGATTAAAATGTCCGAAGTGTCATCCCTTAGCCTGTGACGAGTGGCGAAGAATATGACAAATGGGCAGTGTTGGTAATTACTTACCACAGGAAACTGAATAGCATCATATAGCGAAAGTATTTGTTTGCAGTCGACAATGTTTTGAAGGAACAGTACTCATTTCACACATAAAAACAAAACAGCAAAAACACCTTCGTGCAGTATAAAATTAAAATATTAACATTAGGGGTATCTTTCATATACTAGACAAGTCCTGATTCAACAGTAACAGTAACGCCATCATTATCAGCAGTTAGAGTTAGCGTCATTAGTAAACGACTGCTGGAAGACCACAGGGTCAAAGTTACATGTATATTAGTCTACTGCAATTATCTCTATCTTCATCACTAATCCTTGACTTGTCTTCGTCTCCATCGCGATTAGCTCAAGTGCGCCATGGTAAATTAATGCAAAATTGAAGGATGAACTGGTAAGCACCGACCAGGTACGAAGTATTGCTTGCACACAGGTGTACTAAGTCATATTGTACCGAGTTTGTGTATATGCATAGATTAGTCGACGTTGGATCTTCGCGAACCGCTCGCCTCACCGTTTTTATTACTGCTAACTAACTACGTCTGGTTCTGTAGTTGTTAATAAAATAAACTATTATACTTGCTATCGTGCTAGGCAATTTGCGGAGTTAACTTTGAATTGAGAGATATAGATTGAAGCTTCTCGAAGTTAGCAACAATGCTAGCGACTGCCAGAAAAGATACTGAGCAAAAATAGAGGAAAATATCTAAAGCAGTTTTCCTATCGGTCCAGTAATAGTATAGAAGACACTCCGTACGTTTGGGCGAACCCGTATCCTATCCAAACTAGTCCAAGTAGATTTTCAGATATGTCAACGTAGACGCGCGTATGATTTTGAATTAATTCTACTAACTGTCTGTTGGTTGATCTACCGAAATAGAACACTAGTCGAAGAAAAGTCGTTTAGCACTGATTTTTTATCGAAGAGAAATTCCTGCTTTGTTTTACCGTTTTGTCAGTGTATTCAATCATAGCATCCACAGTCCGCGTTGACTATACGATGCCAGAAGACTAACTCATAGCCACATATACATCAAACAGAGTAGCAGCAAAACAAGCGTGTTAAATGAGGAGAAAAATGAAAAGGTAAATCTGTGGTTAAGTATCACAAGTTGTCACGTTCATTCTCGCCTTACGTTCGATTGTGCGCAATGAAAGTACGCAGAGCCATACCAACCTCTGAAAACTCTGCGCTACAGAGGACGATGCTGTCAGAGTCACTATGTTTTTGTTCTTATTCATTCTTCCCCTGTTCACCACCCTCGTTCAACGCCCAACTTAAATTCTGTTAGCGTCGTTCGTCAAATGTGAGCGCCGGTCTACCTGCCTTTCTGATCCTCCAGTGCCCGCCAACATCAGCATCATCACCAGCCCTCTCGAGTGATGCTGTTCTGTGCGGAGGGAGTGTACAAACTGCCTTCGTACGTTCCGACAATTCGACGGCTAGATAAGGAGACGGACAGACAACGAGTGGGACCAGACAGCTGAAGGATCGACGAAAAATTCCTGCTAGACATGTCACCATGTGCCGCCGTGAGTTGTCACCATCCGAAATGGTTCGCAGGCTGCAGAGTAGGGAAAGATGGCAGGTGCACGCACCCAATCCGTTTATCACTGAACTGCTGCCGGGGAGGCTGAGACGGTTGCGGCGGCGGTTGTTCCGCGTGCAGTCGCCGATTCATCGTTGTTACCGTCGTTGTCGTGGCTGCAGCTGTTGATGTTGTCGTTTGGCTCTTCCGAGCGTCGTTCGACCGATAGTATCGCGCTGACACACAGAAAGGAGTTGATGCTGGCTGATGACGGGTGGCGATCATCATGGCGATGATGATCGTTATGGTGATGAAAGTATTGCTGATGATGGCGATGATTGTCGCATCGGCAGTATTGTTGGCGAGGGCGTGCAAGGGACCTTACGCTCTCATACCAGCCTTGTGCTCAAACGATGTTATAAAGACGGAAAAATCGTTGGCAGACAGGAACTACTGCGGGAAGTTCACTCTAACAATAGACGAGGGGGAAAGAGGTCAGCGCGGTGGGTCATTTCCCAGCGGAAATCACCGAGTTGTGAAGACTTGCGGGGGCAGACGGGCCGCACACATGGAATTGCTTTAAAGCTTCACACATCGAAGCTACCTCGTGGAACACCACGAGCGTTAAACTCCTCTGTGGTAAAGTAGTTGATGCTAGAATTGCTAGATACTCGGGCCGTTTGTTACCGAAAAAACCGATGAAAAACCGAACAAGATTCGTGATCTGGTGTTAGCTCAAGCAATGATTTGAAGTGATAAGATTGCTTTGCAGGGCAGTGTAGGCTGGTGTAGATGATGACATATCGTATATGTTATTTGGGCAACTGGGTCGCGCCGATTTTAATTATCATTAACGGAAACGTCGGAGTAATGGTTTGTTGCTGATATCCCTATGAACACCGTAGAGTAAATACAGGGGCATTAAAATTCAGGTGTGCAACATTGTGCAGTCTCATACAAGAATCAGGTAAGTGCTTTCTGCAATATGTATTATCCAATCGGTAAAACCTTATTTTTAGCAGTGATAAGTTTAGTCGCTAAAATGAAGTCACGTACACAAGCTCATGTCGGCGTGGTGATACTATTGAATTCGTATGCGGTAACCCCTCTACCTCATTTACCATTATTGTTCTATCGAAATTAGCGTTTTTGCAACAGAAGCGTATTATTCCACAGCTAATCCGGACGCTCAGTCTAGCGACGCGGTTTTCCAATTATATTTTTGTCCATTGTTTTCCTTGTACATTGACTACAATAAAAATCTCTATTTCTGCCATAATTTTAGGTACGTTCCAACTGTTACGCTTGTGCAATCTCTATTGCAAATATCGGGTACTGTTGAAATATTGACAATAGCCGTCATACGGGCGGAGCGGTGATACAAGTTTTTCGAAGTGTGTGTCGCAGTAAAACGTGAGGTACAAAGCATATAAAAGCAGTGAAAATATGTAATAAGTACGCAATCCGTATACTTCGTAGTTTGGCTAGGAACTACGAAACTGCTGGCATGAAAAGCGTTTATATAGAACTGGTGTAGCTGGCCCCTATTCGCCGGAAATGTTCAGGCTCAAATTTGCCCTTAGGCTAGACGCGAAAAGGCTACGCCTTACCGAATTCATTGTAAGTAATAGAAATTCCTTTAGAATCCGCGACAAAGTTGGCTCTGAATTTCCACTGACGGTTACAAAAGGATGCGTTATTTCGACTTATTTTTGATGGGACGCATCAGTCTGTAACGTTTTCTTCTAGCCTTTGGGATTTGTGGCCTGTATTGAAGCAAAGCTAACTCTTGGATGTTAGCAACAGTTTTTCCACCTTTGAGAATACGTAATGCATTACAAATAAAAATGTTATACTTAAAAATAATAATCCGAGATTGATTCTATTGACCTGTTTGCGAGACCTTTCCATGCCTCTGCCACTACACAGGTCGCTACACTGCCTAACCTATGATCCACGCAGCTGAGCCGTTAGATTGTTTGATCTAGCAGTATTGTTAACTTCGGCTGTCTCTGTATACAAGGAATGGAAGTATGTACACGGTATGAACAAGATATGATCTGTCTGAGAGGAATAACACACTCAGTGGTACGATATATACTTTATAGTCTTAATACGAATTTAATCTTATATATATATATACTGTTATTAAAACGACAGGAAGGTTGTTTCTACCAACTACTATCTTGTAACACAAAATAATAGACTTCGTAATAACGAGTTTCAATCATTTGGAACATTTCAGTTCACGTTCGAACATAGCCTAGCTAAATCACTCAAAATACAGATGCTACTTCATCTAGACTTTATTCAGGACGTCTGGCTGTAGAATATTGTCGTCTTTGGTTCAATCTAGACAGCAATGGAAGCAAGCTGCTTGATGTAGAATTTGTGTGAACGCCCATGCCCTTCAAACAAAAACACTTATCGATATTAGATCATTTTTGTTACCACTCATTTTGCCTGATTTTCAGCGAAAAACAATTATAATCCACTTCAGACCACGTCACTATACAGCTGTTAGCGGAGACCCCAAATAATTCAGCGATAATAAAAGTCAAATAGAACAGTTTCAGCACCTGTGATTAGCTATCAGGCATCAAATCATCACCGGTAACGAAAAATTGATCGGAATATGAATTGCAACACAATTTCGGATGGGTCTGGGTATCAAATAATGCTCCGACTACTGAAGCATCGTCCGACAAGGTTATCAGTGTTATTCTATCGTAAACCAGAAGAACTGCAAGGTAAACGTCCCGGCTGAAGTGTTTAAACTGAGGTAAAAACTTCTAGCTCGTAATGTGAAAACCGCACGATAAGATTATACTTGGCTCCAAATCAATAGCCACGCAGCCAACGTTCCCTCTAGTAGAAAAGCATTAATGAAAATCACGAGCAGATTTTAAACAATGTCTAGACGCGTTTACAAATGAATATCCTTTTGACTTTCGAGAAGACGCTTTGCCAGCATTCGTGTCCAGCAAAAAAGAGACCAACTTTAAAGATCAGATAATTAGATGCGGGTATGCCAGGCGCAGGAACGTCTTGCTCGCTACAACTGGCGGCGCATGTACTTTGTAAAACTATAGACTTAATAGTGAAGTTTGAAACGTGCTAAAAAAAAAAAAAATGCTGAATAAACTATAATGGAACCTATTTCCTTTGTTTTTTGTTTAAGGAAGAGGTACGTTCCTAGAACCCCAGAAAAGCTATTATATTTATCGTTCAGTTCACTGTGACATTATTGATAAATGTTCATTAGCAGCAATATGATAGAAGCTATTCAGATACAAAGGCCTACGCTAAGGCAACCTTTAGCGTGCCCAGTATAAGGAAAAAAAAAAAAGAAGTCGAACAAGGACCGAACCTGAATAAAGGCCAGTTTAATGAACAAACGCTTTCATGTCACGAGTGGATGTAATTGTCCTTCCGCAAAGCAACAACAACATGCAAAATAGGCATTAAAAAAACATTAGAATCAGATCGAGGATGCTGTTCCTGAACTTAGCTATTATTCGTCACTATTGGAATGCATAGATAAAAAGTAATTTGCGATAAACAAGATGTTATTCCAAAGGATTCGCGGAAACAAAAACAATCGTAAACTACTTTATGTAACACTTGCGGAGCGCGGCGACGACTATGTGCTATTGATGACTACTACTATATACATGTAACTGCTAGTGACAGCAAGGATGGCAACAACTTAACAATTATAATATAGAAGGATTAGAGCATTCATGTTGCCAAGCCAAAATTGAATAAAAACAATGAGAGCGCCACCGTCAGAACTGTGCAGATGTTATTCGTAGAGGCCAAGAAAACAAATCACTGCGTCGTTTCCCTATTTGAAACGTGTTCTTTACTTTAAAACTCGTTGTTACCTCGTCCTGTTCTACGAAACCCGATTTCGCTTGCGGCGAACCTCGATTGGTGCTGTTACTGGCTTCCGATTAGTGACTACGTACATGGGGCACGATTTGCAATGCAAATTACTTTTTACCACTTTGATCGTATTGGCAGCATCATCAGCCAGCGCCGCGCTGGCCGAAACTAACGTCAACAACGTCAGTGACGACGAAAGCAAAGGCGTCAAAAATCAAACCGCCGTCCCAATTTGCATTACGATACAGCTCCGGCTACGGATACATGTATGACGATCAATGCTATCCAGAATGACGATGCGGGCTGCAGTGCGAAAATGGCACGGGTGGCCAGTTTCGTCGCTTTTTTTCTAGCCCACAGACGTAAAAAGGTCAGATACTAGCTAGGCTAAGGCCGTCTTTAGGGCTAAAATTAGTTACACTTAGATTTGGCATTTATCTACAAACCGTACGTACGTATAGTACTGTAACCCTAATCACACATTTGTATAGGGGGCAAGTTTGAAAACGAGACGCATTTATGTAACGGACTTACCTAGTCACTTGATATTCAGCAGTTTATCGCAACAAGTAGCATGGCATCTTACGCTAGGAACACGGTTCGTTGCATTTCCGGCGCACGTCGCAGAAACTTGTTCCACCTGCTCATCGGAAGTCGTCAGCGTACGTTTACTCTTCTGCCGAAGTTATGGGGCGGAATAAGATCATCTGAAGCTTGCTAAACACGACCGACGAAATTTAGAGGCGCGAAAGAGATGGACGGCACATCCTTCTCTTCCGACTTTTTATGTTTGGCCACATTGAAGCTGGCTACCTGTGACACGGCAGCCCTCTTAATTTCACTCGTGTGGCCTGGAAACTGAAATCGAGCTGCCTGGCACGTGTATATATAAGCGTGTCCTATTTAGTATATCTAGTAAAGGTTCTGAGTCTTACGCTCGCTGCGTAAGTTACTACGTATTGCCTCCTCTGGCATATATAGGCCTCGCTACTGCACTTGTAGCTAATGTCTTTTGGGTAAAGGTTACGACCATCCGCCACAGTAAGCAAGGTTTTGCTACATATGATGAACGAACAGTCAGTTTCTTTTGTGCCTATGATACTTTGTCGCGGAACGGAACGATTATGTAGAATAAAACAGTTGTGCAAGACATATGTACTTATAATGCTAGTGATATTTCGCACCTCGCTGACCATGTAGTTGGCATCATAAATGGGCGTCAGAAAATAAACAAACGATAAAGCAGTTTATAGTAACTTGTCATAAAACAATTAGTAGCAAGTTCAACAAGTAGAATTACGTTTTAATACACTTTTACATGTTATATTTGGTATTTTTTCGCTAATCTGTCGACGTTTGCAAGTACTGAGTGACTTGGAAAAGACAGAATGGATCCAAGCAAATATAGATTTGTTTGCTTTGTATTCAGATCTCCAGCTCGGATCATTTCAAAGGAGAACGAATATGTATCCATTCAGTTGCGGGCTCTAACATATTGTGTTCGCAAAGGTATTATTCTTTTCTAGGCATAAAACTACGCGGGATCATCTGCTTTCAGCCGCACTTGTTCTATAATGGTCGATCGAGTGTTGTACCATACTACAATTGTGACATGCTGTATATTTTAACAGAATTATTCAATATGAGTCTCTCTTGTGTTTATCGAGTGCGTTTCGCTATTCCACATACACTGGAAGAGTTAGATGCCGTTTTTTATGCTGTTGGCATCTTTCGGACACGTTCAGACGACGCAGGGAGAGAGAGAGAGAGAGAGAGAGAGGGAGGGAGGGAGGGAGGGAGGGGGGAGGAGAGAGAGTCACGTGCAGGCTTTTTGTCTTGTCAACCCAAAATATATGTGTTATTCCATTATCAGCTACACATTTGGTACGTGAAGCCCGCAATTATTTATTTCGGCCAGCGGTGGCAGCTCTCCAACCCGTCCGAATTTTCGTGCTTCAGTGACACGCTTTGCATCTCAAATGGGTAGCCCTTTGTGCAGGAAGCTTGCAACTTAAGCTTTCTTTATTCATGAAACGAAAGGACGGGCTAAAACAACGGCTTATCTAGCGTTCATAGGCATCGCCGAGCGTCTATAAATAAGCGCGCGGCTCACAGCTGCAAATTATTATTTTATCGAAACGTAATATAACATATTCGACATTGTGAAAACATGGATAATACGAATGATCATCTAATCCGGCGTATAAGGCTTACAATGTACACTTAAAATAGTTCTGCTTCTTGCAGGATAGAGATGATGCAGAATGTGCACACCGGATCCATACATGAAGACTACACTACATATATGAAAACCCGTTGCCTATGATGTCTATGCCTAAAATGAGAATTTCGGTAATCAAGTGCCGCTATCAGCGCATCGCACTATCTGACACAGCATCACTGTGTAGATAACAGTTAGCCGTGTTTCCACTCTACGATGTAGACATTCCCGATACCGGTAAACTCTACTAGAGTCGGCTCGTATCAATAAGATGGTTTTTATCTCTCGTTTTGCAGCCTAGTTATGAGAAGGTACAATACTGATGAGACGAGATTGGTTTCGTTGAAATATTCCGTCGAAACACATGTCCTATCTTAGAACCATTAGACCCGACTATAACAACCGGCAGTCCTTGTTGGATAGTACCCTCAAAAGACAGCCTAGCCTAGCTCGACGTTCCATTTACAATGCTGCTCTAGACATGAACAAGGGCTGCTTGAGGAAGCAAATGCTCACTGCAATTTAAGGTCCAATACCGCCCCGCTGTGCAGCGTGTATTGTCGCGGTCGCTTCATGGGTTATTCTGCATCAAAGCTTCTATACGTATTCCATAAGTACTATGCGGATCGATACGTAATAGTAGGGGTGTAGGTTTCTTTGAGCGTGTGAGTGCGTGCCTCCCAGGGGACCTTATCGGTGACAGCAGAGCGATTTGGCATCGTTCTGAATAGGCAGGAAGGAGCGTCCGGAAACTGGACGGTGTATTTATAGAGAAGCTTTGATCTTTCGCTATTTGAGTTGAACAGTACGAGGAGGCCTAAAGAGAACCTAGCAAAGCGTTGGCGCTCTTGTCTTGTCAAGCCGGCGATCGGAGTGTTCGAGGCTATATCGGTGCTGCTTGTTAATACCGACTATAAACAGACGATCAACAAGGTTGAGTCCTTTCTCACTGCTGTCGTCGCTATCTGCGCGCGGAGTCCTGTAATCTACGCTGGAGAGCAGCAGCATGCACCATACAATGCATTTTGCCTTCGCATAGAGGCATCGGCTGGCTGCCTCGCAGGAAACGCTTGACAACATCGCTAGTAGCGGCGCTCAGCTGACAAGAGCAGAACGTGGGAACGGGCATTTCTGTTGTAAGAGGGCGAATCATGCGTATTATATATATATATATATATATATATATATAAACAACGGATGCAAGTTATCTGACTGGATATGATTGGATATCGTGAGCAATATTGAAATCAGTAGTAATTAATTTAAAACTAATCACTACTGTTGTACCGTCGACAGTTGCTAAAGACTGAAATCTGTCAACATCGTGACATTCGAAAGCTGACGGCGGGCCTAAATGGTCCTAATAAAAACTAATAATTTGAGATGTATCTTTCGCTTTCGACATTATGGAATATTATCATATACTAAACACAATGTACACATGGAGCTGTGTTGCATTAAAACTATTTAGGCTTATGTGCTTCAAAGCACTCCAAATAAATAGTATAATTTTGAATGGGGTCGTGTTAGCGTTTTTGTCATTTGCAAGGATCGACTTGCAGATCTACTAGCTTTATCGGTACCTCAAATTTTCGTTCAAGTTTTCGCACAAATTATGAAAATATTTACGTTTGAAGCTTTATGTTATATGAAAAGCTTCTTTCCAGATTCCTATGCTAGATCCGAACGTTTCATTCCTTGATCTGGCTTTCCAATGCGCCTATAATTAGCGAATCACTGATCCATAGATAAGTCGGGCATAAGTTATTTTTTGCTATATAGAAGCTGCTAATTCTATCGAAATTACTCAGGAGCATTTGTGTACAATCAAGCGTACTTTCGACCAAAGTTTGTTCACTAACGTTCACGTCAAAATTGATGGAAAATCACGAAGTTCTTGTACGGGCATGTCATCGCGGACTTCGGAGCGGTTAGCAACTAGTTGTCTCGTCTTCTAATTCCTACCAGGTCGACGGCACGAGAAGTGACGTGAATCTTCTGCAGACATTTATGTTGGAATCTTCACTTGACAACGGTTGAATCTGAAATTTATTTTCTTGTATAAATTAATGGCTTCACTTAGTAGCAGCGAACAATTAAGCTCTTCTGATGCATTTGGTCGGGTTTAACACCAACCCGACCAAATGCATTATACACGACACATTTTACGGTGAAGAAGATCTTTTAAATCACAAGTGACAATTAATAAAAGACGTATCAGCTATTACTTACTCGACTTTTCTGTAGAAACGCAGTACTTATAAATGTCTATAGTACGTAAACTTACTGGAGCATCTTAGTATACTTTTATAGGTTTATTCTATTCGAAAAGCGAAAGTATGCCCATTTTGTCCCAAAATAAATACTACTTAAAATATGGCCGACAGTTGAATTACATTTAGAACTTGAAAAATCATATTGGTTTTGAATTGGGAAAAGAGATAAATGTATAGTGACCACATCGCTATGAGCTCAAAGACGTTTACCTATACAGTAATAAATATACCTTAAAAGAAATTGATGTTTTTTTTTTTTATTACAATTATTATTTTCGCTTACGATAATAATTTTACGGTTACTATTATATATTCTGCTCACACTTTTCCAACAATTTCGATGCTAAACACAGTTAATGCTAGAGTATATTAAATGGTCCACATACCGCTGCGTTCTACGAGAACTTACACTTATTTTACCCCGGGGAAAACCAACCCGGGAAGAATAACATCGTCGTGAAAAGTCAAAGACAACATGAAATTTTCCTTTGTATTTAAATGTAATTTAAAACAACTGCGCAGTTTATAGCTGATTACCATCACCTCGTAGGGCTAATACAAAGCCGTCGTCCTTTGTTACGTCCTATTTCGGTTATTTTCAAAAGACAAATTCGTGTGTTTGGCATGCGTCCTTAGCGCGGCCATGTTGGCTGATTTGGAGTTATTAAAATTAAGTTTAAGCTTGTTTTCGGTATCTCTATTGAGTTGTTCACGTTAAGCTGCTGATCCTTCTCAGAAGGCCAATAATAGAATCTATCACCATTCGGTAGGCCAGCAATCTATAATTTCAACATATACCGGTATTGCAATTCGTTTGTTCTATCGTTAATTAGGACGGATGAGGCTTCGAGCAACGAAACTTAGAGCAATTCATTGAATTAACGATCCTCGCAACATTTCTAGTGAGTACAAAGGTCAGTAGGTATTGAATCTGCGAAAGCTGACTTAGCTTTTATCAGTGTATCATAATCCAGAAGAAGTTTGTATTTACCCTACTGGTTTAGCAAGATCCGTGAAATTGGCAGCTTTCGAGGACTCGGTATTTACGAAGGCTCGCAAGTGACCGAAAAATATACGTTGGAAGCGTTTGCTCGTTCTCAGCTAGGCTCGAGTAATATATGGCTCGAACCCTTGATGCGGATGATGCTGATATCAAACGTTTTTGCGTCTCGCACTTCATAATGTTACGCTTGGCCTATGAACGGCCAATAATAATAATAATAATAATAATAGTCTAAGTAAAGCAGTTTGAAGTTTGTTTCGGGCTGTTTTATTTTGACGGCGTCTTACCAACTGAGTTACAAGGTAGAGTAATGGGCCTAGAGACTTGTATGCGCTCCGAAGCGGAGAAGCCATCAGTTACACAGTACGATAACATTTACCGCTACGCTCAGCTGAGTCTAAAATTTCTACAGTGTTTCCTTAACAATCGATTGCCGTAAGCAAGTGATAAAGCCTTTTATTATTATATATATATATATATATATATATATATATATATATATATAAGTAACTTTATAACAAGAAAAAAGGATAATGATATAAATGTCAATACTTTTAAGAAGAGGGACTATCGACCGGACCTGTATTAGTCATATATACGTAAATGCTAGCTTCAAACGATAAATTCAAAGATGTCTACCGATAGCAATAATCCAAAACGAACTGCCATACGTTTTGCCAAGAAAAAACCTGCGAAATCCACATCTTAAAAGGGAGCAGTTCTCAACTACTAACTTAGTACAGTTTAACAAGCGCTGTTGAGCTTTACTTTAGTGTGCCCATAGACTTTGCAAAGCCTGATGTTTTCATTCATCTGCATTTTGATTTCAGGAGACGCGAGCTGACAAAAAGCGGATAGAAAATGTCCAGTTAGCCATGCGATCTTCCGCGTCTATTCTGACCATTTTCCTTTCCTGTGCATTAATTTACTGCAGCACCTTATGGGCATTCAGCCACTGCCAATATTTTTCTAAGGATGATAATTATCCTGGTGAGCCCGCTCATAGTAGCAACATACTATATACGCCATATGGAATTATCAGCGGTCGGACATCGCTTGTTCGTGGAATGGCGGTGCAGAAATATTTGGGCATTCCATACGCCCAGCCGCCCTTGAAGAAGCTGCGCTTCAAGAAGCCCAGGCCATTGCCGTGGAAGAAATCTCGTTATATTCAAGCTACATCGATGGGCCCATCCTGTCCTCAGACATCGTACTATTTCGACGAGCTTCGAAATAACAAAGATCTTCACGTTAACGAAGATTGCCTGTACTTGAATGTGTGGACGGCCCAACTGAAGCCACCGCAACCCGTTCTCGTGCTCATACATGGCGGCTTTTTTACACATGGAGGCAGCGAGTCACCCGCCCTTGATATGAGCCAGTTAACTATTCGAGGCGTTGTCTGCGTATCGTTCAACTATCGACTGAATGCGTTTGGTTTTCTTTACGCTGGCACCCCGCGAGCTTCGGGCAACATGGGTCTCTACGACCAGCAATTGGCATTACAATGGATCAAGAAACATATAGGATACTTTGGAGGAGATCCTAATCGCATTACAGTTATTGGACAAGGAGCTGGCGCTGTCGCTGCAGCCTACCAACTACTTAACCCCGTTAGCCAGAAGCTATTCAAACGGGTAATTCTCCAATCCGGTAATCCGTTTTCTATTATGGGCCTCAACCAACGTTCTGTCGCGTCGACGCGAACGCACACGATCGCTAAGCGTCTAGGCTGCTCGAAAGAATACAGCACCCCCCATAATGTAATATCGTGCATTCTGTCTAAGGACGCCGGACAAATTTCCAAGGCCGCTGAACTAGAGTTCACGCGTGGACAGCTTTCACTGATGCCACTCATTGAAACGGAAAGCCTTCTCAAGAAAAGCAAACAAATGAAAAACGTCGAAGTACTAATGGGCTTTGCCAAAAATGAGTTTGCCGATTCACTGTTCTATGCGGGGTATTTTGACGCTGGAGAGGACATTCTGCCGGGCGATGTCAAATATCTTGTCGGCCTCTTCTACGGTAATCCATTTATCTATGTTGCTTACATCCCAAGTAGGTAATCTAACGCGTTACGTGCATATGACAACATTTGCGCTTTGGTCCCACTGACAAATTGAGCAAATCGTGTGTGTTACACTGGACTGGATTTCATTTTCCAACTAATATTTCAAGCTGTTTCTAAGCCACTCTCGTTTATTCCATATTTAAGGTACGTTCTTTCGAGCAAACGCAGTTCCCGTCCTTCGGTACTACTTCCGCGACGCCGTAAACTCAACCGAACTGATACGATCTGGGGGTCATGCTATCTCCGATGGATTGCTCATATGTCCAGGGAACGAATTTGCGGAGGAGTTAGCTAACCTTGGCGCCAAAGTCTATTATTACTCATTCGACCACGAGTCAGCATTTACTCGCAAAGAATTTGGAGTAACTTCCGCCGAGGAAGCTTTATATTCATTGGGATCCCTCCATGGCATTATGGGTGCACGACTAGGACCCTCGTTGAAAGACCTTCAATTCGCCGATGACATGTTGGATCTGATCGCCACTTTTGTGTACTACGGACGGGCGTACTCGCCAAAAGCAAATACAGACTGGCCTACCTATAGTGCGGAAAGGCCGTACATTGCAAACCTCAAGCAGAACATCACGATCGGATACGGACCCCGCGCGGACGAGTGCAACTTTTGGTCATACTTTTGGAATAACTACGATGCCTCAGTGGGCCGAAGATACTCGCACGTCATTCTCGGATAAAGTCAACCTCAGAATAATCTGGATTAAACGCGGTACAAGATGGTTCATTATGGCAGCTCTCATAATCTAGTATATACTTTAAATTATATCTACGCATATTTATGAAAATAAATTGTCGTTCTAGGTACCTTGAGTGAGCTGCATTTTTGCATTTTACACTATAGAAGTATATGGACTAGATGAGTCGATCTACTGAGTAGAATTGTTTTGTGACAGGGGCTGAGGCTTCTTTTAAGCTCGTATCAGCGTAATATCTTCGTGTGAGCTTAGTGAATGCGTTCTGTCAGGAGATTCCCTTTTCCATATGACTGAGATAAAACAGACTCGAATGCAGTCTATACACGTAGAACCATGACTGACGAAAGTTTCTAATCTGAACGAGCTGTCTATCTCGACCCACAGTTCTGTTCATAATTCAACTAATATGTCGCGATGAACCCTACGTTCAAGCGGGTCTCCCTAGTCCGATTCGACCTGGTAATGATGACGCGGGCTTTGATATGAAGCCTCGACTCATAAATCCAGTACCACATGCGGCGGTTCGAAGCGAAGTATCAAATAGGTCTGCGCTAGGAGAGTTCACACGCGTTACTCGATCTCCGTGAAATACGTTTTGACTTTGCAGCTCGTACGCTTCGCACGAAACTGTCGGGCTTCGCCTTTCAGGTCCGCCTTCTACTTTATTTACCGAGTCGGTTGATTTCTCTTTATTAATTCGACTATTTCGTTGACTCCCAATAGTGGTCTTTCGGGGCGCTTCATAAGCCGCTTCTGAACGCTATGTTATTTCTTAGTTCTCCGATTTCTGCCTTCTAAACAGTTGAAGATTCCAGAAATCGACGTTCAGCGTATGGCTGAGCGCAGCTCGCGGCTCCGCCTGGCGAACACATGTGATAAACGACCATCGCACCATGATCACCAAATGAGTGAGTGACAACTTTCCTGTGATTCGTCACGCCCCGGACAGGGTCGGCACGCGGTGCGCATTCGCGTACCAAGTGTCCGACACTGGTTCATCTTAAGCAACCGCTTTGGCTGTTGTTGTCTGCAAATGCGCATCATCGCTGATTCCAGCTTTTGTCGGCTGACTCCAGCGGGTCTCGCGTTTCATCCTCGGAACGGAATGACAAAAGGCCCCGTCGACCCCTGTGCCGGTACGATCATGTTCATAAACTCTTCTGTACTGCAGAACTAAGCAAATATCATCCGCAGACTTCGAGAGTAATAACCATCCTCGAAACTACAAGCTGTATATCATCAGCAGCGATGTACTCATGCTGATTCCCAGAACATCCGTTGCAATAGTCGTCATGTGGGGCGCAGCGGACTAGGCCGCTTCAGAGCCACCCATCGCGATCGGCTCAGCTAGCAAATAACATGTACTAGTGGCACAATTAAGTCACAGGAAGTTCGCCAGTCGTCGAGCGACCGCGAATGTACTTCGAAAATCTTTCTGTTCTTTATGTGTTTCTCGAACGTCAATGCGAGTAGGCGAAGACAGGGCCGTCGACAATATAGGTTAAGCTCGCGAATTTCGCTAGAGGCTACCGCCCTCCCCGGTCCTGTTTTTGACTCTGCTAATTTAGCTTAGATTATACAATTTTCCAATTGGTTTCTGTACGTGCATGTCATACATGTATGCTTGGAGTGGGTTGCGCCCGCGCAGGCTGGAACGAAACGAAATATCTCGTAAGCAACCATTTTCGCGATAAGGGAAATACAGTCTATTCCGATAGTGTTCAAAACAACAATACATGCATTTATAAACAATGGCAGGCATTGTAGGTGTACTATTGGACGGCCGAATGAAGGACAGGGCGCGTGAGAGACCTGTTGATCAGTTTGTAGCTGGACAACCAGGCCATGTTTGGTATAAATACAGAGTCAGCTGACGATAGGTAAAAAATGTTATTCACCACACCCCATCCTATACGCCAACAACAAGAAGATCATAGTTCTGAAGTAAGTCAAATGATCACTTCGAGGAAGCATCGTCTCCGGCAACGACGTTCATCAACTAAACTTGAATACACGAAGGTTAGTTCTATAGGATGCATATAGGATGAACGATTAGCTACAGGCAAGAAGGGGGTTTTCATCGTACGTGAAAGATCTTCGGCCATGGCTTGCTTCTTCCTTCTACTGCTTGGCGAATCCTTTCGCTTACAAACAACGGGACTGGTTTATCGCTCATGTGAACATCAAAAGCGGACGGACCGACGCACGGACTCGACGTGAAAGCTGCCGGCCGTTCTATCTTCGTTTATTCCTTTGGTGTGAGGTGTCTGTCTCGCGAATCCGGCAACACGTGACCGGTTTTACTGAACGAAGACCGATCTTAGTCTTCGCGTTGAGAGCTTATTTACGAGATGACGGGAAAAACTACATGGAAATACGGTGCATACAATAACTCATGTACACATATAGCCCAAAAAGCGTAATGTGTATAAATGACACGGGCCATGCCTCAAATACGGTACATGTGCTCGCGCCATTGGGATGGTGCACACTCTGCTGTTACACGTAGGAGCTTAAGTGCGTTCAATCAGTGCAGAACTCACCAATTTGAAAAAAGAAGCGACATTAACAAGTTCAGAGGATTGTGGAACGTCGCCGTTCTGTTAGGTAATGATTTTGCCGGGTCCGTGATAAGATCTCCATTTGCCACAGGTTGTTTCTGGGGTCAGTCGCTATGAACCAATAGGTTCGAAGACGAGCGCATACTTCGACAATTTTAACGCACTTAGCCCGATCTCAAACTGTGAGCTCTGCTGTGTTTTTGCTATGCTTGTACGCTGCTTAGAGGAATCGCATACCACACCACGAGCCACAATCGGTTGCGGTAGAGACTCGATCTGCGATCTTAACGCTGATAACTAGCTCGCAGACCCAGCTCGGCTCTTAGACTTTCTAAATGTCTTCACACGAGAGGCTTAACCTCGACATCGACCGTACCTACAATAGGCGAAAGCAAGCAAGGGGGAGAGGCTGGCAGGAAGAAAGCAGTGCACAAAATATATGTCTCTTGTTGGGAATTAGGGGAAATTATTTCGGACAAGAAACATGATGCATGTAACGTGTGACGTATATATTCAGTTATAGCTATTTACTTAGGTGCACAGCGATGCATTTCAGTTGAACTTAGACTGGATTGAAGTCTATGAAAGCAATAATGGGTTATCCAACGAATCGCCCGCCATCTTGTTATTGTGGATCTGTTTTTCCTTATATACAATTAACATCTGGCCGACATAATGTTATGAAGAATGGTTGAATTCTTAGCCACTTTCAATAGTTTCATCTAAATTGCAATAACACTTGCTTTTATTGGGGTGCGACAAAACGTCAGATGCCCGTTCCTCATAACACACAATAACCACTTTATGTTTCGCGTTTTTATGTGATCTTTGATTGTTGATTTAATGTTTATCCTGCAGCTTGTTGCGCATAAAAACATACTAGCATACGACTACAGTCACTTTATGAATGTCGTAAAGAGTAACTGTTTAGATCGCGTGGAGCTTTTTTCCACGTTGTGCTTTTGCTTGGAACAATGCCGGTAATATCAAATAGATAGACAATCTGTTGGTACTTGCCTTGTCGTATCAACCCTTACTCTTGCTTAACGCATCTGAATGATAATATACAAATATTGTGAAGATAAATACTGGTAAATCTTTCCATAGCTACATTCGACTCTATGACTAATCCATGTTTTACCTATCCTGAGTAGGGGAGCTTTTCGCTGGCGTTACTTGAAACACCTTCCCGCGATTGGCTTCGAACTTTGACGTCCAACTGACAACCGATTAGCCCTAACTTTGTATTATCGTTAGATAACGTTGCCTAATTGTCCGTTCGTTCGTTTTCTGTCCTACTGTTATTTGCTTCATCAGTTTCTGCTATACGTATAGAAACTCGAAATATTCTCGCTGTTTTCTTTTGACCGATTGCGTCGTCGTTGTTGCGATAGCAAAACAGAGATAAGTAGACAACAGAACAAAATGTCAGGCTTGCGTGTAGATCCACCCTATGGACGGACACCTGTGGCACATTCTTGCTTTCGCAGTCACCTTTGCCGACTTGCCTGCCGCCTCGGGATCTATCCGCTCTGCTCCCACGCACTGTTAAGGCTATTGCCATAATCTGTCACTTCTGGTCGAATTCTAGCTTTCTTTCGATCTAGCCTTTCATATAATTCGCGTCCTGCAGAGTCCTAGGAATGTTTCTCCGAGTTGGTTGTTTACCTGACGCAGCAACTCTCGACATTCTTTCTCGCCGTTTTACTTGTGAGTGCAACTCATTTTTCGTTCGCTGCGCTGCTTTCTTGTCGACTCCGTTCTTTTTCTCTAGTTTTCTTGGCCTACCGAGGCACTTCTCGCTTTCTGCCTAGCTTTCTTGAGAGCTAGCACGCTCTCCGTTGTTCTCGGTTGCGTTATACGACAATGCTAACGAATGTAACACCAGACAGGGGGATATAGTTTTGGCTTAAGGAGCTGGTGTTGGAAACTGCCCCGAGACTGCTGGAGACCTTGACTTGACGACGATTCGAATCGATACAAGAGACAATATCCTATCGAAATCAGCAGAACGACGAACGCCCAGACTCACACGCATATATACTAGCCAAGTTATACACCTACAGCATTCTTCAGCCTCCACCGCCGCTACCAGCAGCATCATTAGCATCATCAGCGTCCTGGTACCAGCAGCTCGTCAGCATCAGTATCCTTCGGCCGTCCCCTTTTAAGGCCTGTAAGCCCCTCAGCGCACACGAGCAACGGAGGCAACCAGCCCAGAGGGCATCCCCAGGTGCTCGCTAGTCCGTTCCCCACCTATGGACATACGGCAACAGCGAGCGAAGCGTGTGAGCCTCTGCCTTTTGTATCTATTCACGACAACGCCGGGGACTACGGCGACGACTAACTAGACTAGCATTACCGTACCCGCTATTGCTACCTCCCCGTCGAGCTGCAGCGCCGCCTGCCGGAACCCCGAAGAATCTGGCTGACCGGTTGGCTGTCGGCTGGTTCCCCTCACCCGAGACAGCAGCTCAGTCGTTGGCGTCTTCTTTCTGGTGGCGCTCACACCTAGTCGCTCGTATCAACATGGCCGCTAGCTGGGAGCACTGCTGAGCCGGGGCCATCATTCTGGAGAGATTCTGTGCGACGACTGTGTGAAAAGCAGCGATTCACAGTGCAGCCGAGCTACAGTTCCTGCTGCAGCAACACGACAGGTTACAGCATTGACAACAGCGCATCGAAATAGGACAACGATCGTTGTCCACGGTGGATTATAAATCCACACAGTGCTATACCCCTTGGAATATAGTATGGCTCTATTGCAGAACGAATTCAATGACAAGACATAGTGCGCGGTGTACTGGCGATCTGCAAACAAGAAGATTCTCACCAGGAATGATTTGTCGTTGCTTGGCCAGCGTAATATGTACTAGCAGATTTTTGCCTCCATTTGTTCCTTACATCCACAATTCGGTACTGAACTAGCCAGTCTTGTTGATGCGCCGGGCCTTGTGCATATCGTTAAAAAAGGATACTGTACAAAAACGGATTTTACGCAGGATACTCTGCTTTATGTGGGAATTCTCGTCCAGCGGAACTAGATAACGGTGCTTCGTTTTGTGATGTGCTTTTGACTAACTTCTACTAGGCGTATAGGTTCCGAGAAAACGACCAACAGGGGTATTACTGTGTGCACAAATTTCTTGACTAAGTACAAGACAGAATTTGTTTCAGGTTCCGTTCACAGTGTGGCAGACATCAACGGTACAGCTAGTAGTGTGAGTGTGGGCGACAACATTATATTTGACCTTACGGGGTCGTCAGCTTCTTTTATCTTGCCCCTGTCAGTTGCCAGTTGGTCGCTTGACATCATCGATCGTCGCTAGAGCCACAGTACCGCAGTTTCCAGTTGCCGCTAGCCTCCGTTGGTTCCTGACGTCTGAGTTCATATTCAGCATGACCCACGTCTATCTGCAGCTTGTATCGTTTCCCCAGCATTAAGCAGTAGTAGCACCAGCGCAGAGGCTGCTGTTGTCGACGGTCTGTCGGTCGCTATCAACGCCGCCGCTGCTTCTCGCAGGAGTCGGAGCCGCTAGCTGCTGCCCAGCGTCACTCTCCGGTACCAAGCTGGCAATGGTTGGTCTGTTCGTGCGGCCTTTGCTACGGCTGTTGTGGACTACGCTAAACTGGGCGAACAGAGCCACCGACTAACGGAGGAGCATACAAATCCTACTGATCGGGCCGGTTGCGTCGTCACCGTCCTGGACCAGCAACGGCAGTCGCGAAGGGGCCTCCGGCGATCGCTGCTCCCATTTTGACTTTCTTCGCATTCGTTGGCCGATCACGACTTTTCGGACCTTGAGGCATTAGGGGTGCCTGTGGCAGCGCCTGCGTACCGCGGGCGCTTTCTCAGTGCAACCTAATCGGAGTAGCCGCCGCAAACGTCGTCCGGGCACCGTTGACGGGGAAGACGAGGGCTACGGCTATATCGACGGCAACAACAAACATCAACCAAGGAAGGACAATCAAGGGACGGCACCTCAACATCATTTTCGTGCGAAGTGAAGGGTGCATAGTCGGTACCTCACTTACTGAAGTGCCGCTGGTAGGCTTAACACTTTGCTTCTGCCTATAATTACGGGGCAACCGTCGATATTGGTCGTATTGGTCAGCAGTAGCATCGAATGCATCAACGCTTCGCATCGGAAAACTCGACGCCTTCCACAGTTCTCACAATTTACAATTCGCTGTTATCGGTAGAGGCAAGGCTCTTGTTAATGCTAATTCAGCTGTAAGCAAAACGTAAAAAGCAAACAGAAAAACTATCGCGCTTACTGCTTGTGACGTCTAGCAACACTCTTGACACCATGATTATAGTCTTCTTCTGAGTGTGCCGCATTCAAGACGAGCCCTTTGAGCTTGTCCGGTGACAGTATCCTCCCCCCCCCCGAGCGAAGGACTTCACGAACAGCCTGTCGCATTTTAAGCAGTGCGCTAGCGAAGACGCACAAAATGAGTGATCACGGTGTCGTCAAGCAGGGCTATGTCCGTCAACGAAGCAAGAAGCTTGGCGGGGTCTGGCAGAAACGGTGGTTAGTGTTGAGAAAGTGTCCAAACATGGGTCCCCCCAGACTGGAGAGCTACACTTCAGAGATGGACTGGAGAAAGTACAGCACGGACATGGATAGTGGTCGACACCGCAGCTATCTAGGTAGCTGTAGGAAGTCCAAGGTTTATCTGCTTGACCAACGCCAGCCGAAAGGTGGTGCTATTTCGGTATCGAGACTGCCGTCATCCATACGAAAGTTCTCGTTCTGCGTCTGCTTCCAGACGAGTAATTCTGAGAACAATCATAACCACTCCGATATTCTAGTTGAGGGGCGACAGACCCGAAGAGACGGGAAGATCAAAACGTTCGCCTGTGAGTCGAACTACGACGCCGACGCTTGGGTTAAAGCCATTCAGGCCGAAGCCGGTCAGCTGTCGGAATCTGGTGAAGGCATACTTCTCGGCGGTGCGCCTGATGTTGTTGCTTCTTCACTTCGTAAGGAGATGCTGAATGATACCTTCCGAGTATTTCTCGTCTCGACCACAGCCCTCGACGCGTGTGGTGACTGTTTATTACAGGTGGCTCCTGAAAACCTATACGTGTACAGCATGCACGAACCCCGAGAAAGATTGGCTGCGTGGCCGCTAACCGCTCTGCGGCGTTATGGAAGCGACAGCGAGAAATTCACTTTCGAGGCTGGGCGTCATTGCGCGACAGGCGAAGGACTATTCGTTTTCTACGGGCCACATAGCGAATCAATATACCAACGAGTCCACCAGGCTACATTAGCAATCGCAGCCCAGGCGAACGCCATGGAACCTACAGCTCCGCAGTACGAGCGGCGACCGTCCATTGGTTCAAGTCCGAGACCGAATTTCAACGAGCTACGACACAGCCTGGAGGAGGACCTTAACTCGAGCTTTACAGCATCCACGACGACTAGCCACTTCGCTACTTCGGGTGGGGTGGTGAAGTCAACACAAAACCCCATTTCGTTTAGATCTCACCTACTGTCGCTGTCTACTCCGAGTGGACTGGAATGACAGATAACACACCGTTAGTCCGCGACTGCTACCTCACCATCAAAAAGACCACGTACAGCAATGTCATAGACACACAACGTATTCAGCGGGTGCTACTGAGCGGGGGAAGTGGTTGAGTATTACCATGCCCGGGTCTCATCTCAGAGTTCGTTTCTTCCTGTTGCGCAAAATCTTTTAGAGCGGTGTATTCAGATCGGAAGAGGATATTGGTGCCCGAGTAGGTTCTGCTTTTAGGTCTGATCTCGCGTCACAGTAGCAGAACCCTCTCGTGCTCACTGGCCCTGTTGCAACCTGCATGCAGGCTCAAGATCTATTGGTCTTATTATTGACTCTTATTTTTCTGTATAATGTTCGGCCGGGACTCAGCCGCAAGCGTAGCGAAAATGAGGAACGCAATGGACTGGACGAAGGATCCTAGTAGGAGGAGTTCCGCAAAGAAACTCCGGTTTGCGATGTAGATTTATCAAAAGCGGAGGAGAGTGACCACCGTTGTCAACCAGCGACAACTACACTCCACTGTGACTAGTATTGCTAGTACATATTATCACACTGAATGCGGTAACTGAAATCTCTAGCAATAATAGCAGCAGGAGCAGTATTCATACAAGAAGGATGTTGATTGTATCGTATTGTCGACGTAAACCTTTTAGCCAAAGGCGACCGCAGATGATATCTCGTTGGTTGCTTGCTAGCTACCATGTAGAAGTGTTTAGACTGAATCAGAGCGAAAAAACAACAGAATTAACAGAGAGCCAGAAAAACCAACATCAAATAAATATATCGAGAGCTTTGAAAAGCAGCGATAACAGAGCCATCGGAAGATGGACAACACTATTTTGCGCTAAGACAGTCGAACCTGTGATGGCGGTCGTGGCTAACTGCGTCTTTCGAGTGGCAGTGATGCCGATGCTCTGCTTTTTAAGCGCATCTTGCTCCGCAGGTTTTTTTCTTCCTTTGTAGATCATGACGATGCAGTTACTCTTGTTGCTGCTGCCGCTGCAACTGCCTCTGCTGTTGGTACTTGGCAATGGCCTTTCAATTTGATCCTCTTTCTTTTTATGTATATCTACAATATATAGACACGAATAGCTTTAATCGCCAATGGTGGTTTCAATTCAATTGTAGGTATCCACAGATTCGGCTGTGCGTGTGAGCATACAAGGTAGTTCTGCTGCCGACTTTACTATCGATGTCGTGTACACACAGGGACAGTGCCTTTCCCGACGATGCTTGTTTTTTTTTTGTTTTCTTTTCGCTATTGTCCTTGTTATGCTTCGTCACTTCGTTCATTTTCGATGTTGGCATCGTTATCGTGCGCTTGTATGATGTACGAAAACCGCTCTTGATTTTGGTTCTGGCTTACGCTTGCTGATCGTGATGCGTATTCTGCAGTGTTCTGCGAGCAGCGCCAGTCCGTAGCGTTGATTTCTGTTGCGGCTGCAACGAGCAAAAGTGCTCATATTAATGCTATAGATCAGCAATACATCGTACTTATTTACCAATAGTAGTGTAGGACGTATCTAGAGGCGAAGATACGCTGCAAATGGCGAGAGTGCGACTGATCTCGACGGTTATCCTGTACATATATAAACGATTTAAGTAGTTGCAACCAGCGAAAATAAAATTTGTTGCGACAATGCCTTATCATGAACGATAACGGCTGTGTCGCCATCTCCGTAACAGTAACTCTCGACGAATTGTAAACAATATCATAGCCATTTTTACGGCTGGTGCTTACGTTGAAGTCACAGCATACGTAGCACCTCTCACAGCTAAGTAACTAGTCGCCCGTGTTCGCGTGAGAAGTTCAGCAGAAATTCGTTAGGCACGCAAATAAAGAGCCAAACTGGCTGGCCCATGGCCTACCCGTTTTACAACGTATACATGGATCTATCTATGTACGGCCAGTAAACGCGATCGACTAAACGTGAAAGCGATTGACTGACTGAACGATGCCACGACGTCGATCAGTACGGCATCGACCATGACCACTAAGTGAACTTCGTCACGAGAGCCGTTCCCCGCTACCACACCCTTATGTAGATAGACTCGCCAACTCTCGGTCCTTCACTATGGCTGTAGAAAAAGTAGAGATGTGGTCACATAGACAGACCGGCTGACCGACCGACCGACCGACCGACGCAGTCCTCTAACGATTCTGCTCGACGTTTGTCTGCTGTCGGGGTTCTGCTGGACAGGTCCAGCGACGTCGAATCGCGCTGCTGGCTTGGATGCTCTCGTATTTGTATGAATGAGCGCGCCTGCGCAAGACATATGAAAGACAAAACTAAAAGTCTAATTTCTGTATCAAAGAAGCGTTCAAAGTAGAGTCAGTTGGCTGACTATTATGCCGTCCGCGACCGCTTTTCTAGCCTTTGAAATATGTACATAGGTTAGGTATCAGACAAATACAGTATGGAGTGCGTTTATGCCGAGAGCGAGAGAGAAGGGGAGTGGGCGGTCGGGGAAGGGATGGGGTGGGGGCAAGACGAGATCTCAGTTGGGCGACAAGTGCAACGTAAAAATGTACATAACGTGTAAAATGTAAGGCAAAAACGGGATGAACGAAATGAGCGCGACAAAAGCGAATAACTAACTTCTAAAAATTAATGAATAAATACAAAAGAAAAAAAAAGACGAAGTTACAAACTGCTTATGGATGTGTGTTTAGTTATTTACTATAGATTATTATATAGAGTATGTGTAAGTAGGTATGCGAAAGGTGCAATGTATAACGAATACATATAGTGATACCAATATGTGTTCTGAAACCGAAGTTTCAATGTAAACAATATCAGAGAAATATTCTAATTATGTCAAGCCAAAGAAGGTTATCGTAATTATAGCAAAAAGAAATGTTTTTTGTTTGGTCGCGATCTTGCACTAGCTCAGAGGCAGAGCGCACAAACTAAGGATAGAGACTCTCTTGAAGTATTTGTTGCTGTTTTTTTTTTGGTCTAATGAGCAATATCGTGCATTGATTAATGATCCAACGCTACGCAGCCATTCCAACAATCTTTAACAATAATCTCACCTACTTAAAAGCTTTTAAAATTAATTTGCTTCAGGGTTTTCAGGTTGGCTTCCAAATACTCTTTGACACAGCATCGATCAGTAAAACTTAACTTTAACTTGAAACTACTGGATAACCCTATTTGTTACCTCACAAAAAACATATGTATGCAATACATCATATATAGCGTACTACGTTACTTCTGGATTCTCGGATTATTACGTATCGGTCCTATTTAAGAAGTTGACCGTGTTGTCTTCCGCGCGGGCCCAAACTGCTCGTTGCTACGGTAACGGCTTAGGTCAACTAACTCGAGCCATGCTATTTCATCTATACGGCTCCCACCCAAATGCTATAACGACCAGCCACTGTCCGCTCGTTGGGGTCATGGTAGCATTAGCTTAGAGGGTAGCGTCAAAAAGACTAAACGTCATCACTGAGCACCGTCGCTACAGCGATCCGAGCCGAGAAGCCATTGGAAGCAACACAATGCATGAGATCTACGATCCTTACTGGCAGGACAAGGACATCCGGTTCGACATCACCAACCCGTGAGTAAACTGACTTTGCTCTCTGCGCGTAGCTAGTGCTTACTTAGGCTGACACTCTGATCCGTTCCGTTGCGCACGACACCAGCAAACAGGCTTTACGTTATCTGGTTTGGTCCACTGTTAGGACGCACAAATTGGTGGGTTGGCCAAGGAGAAGAGCATCCAAAGCGAAACACTCCTTCAAAGTAGCTGCCGCAGTTGTGTTGGTGACGACGCTGGCAGGAAGAGGCCACCGACTAAGTGTCCAAACGTACGTGTTCATCCAAATGTGGCCGCATCTCTCTGTCTTTCCATCTGTAGCTATGTAGTGTTGTGCATTCGTCTGCGGCATGCGCTTTCGTATGAGCAGTGAGCTATTGAGACCGATATACGAAACCAGCAGGGAAAAAGCCAAAGCCACAGGAACTCGAAGACCATGCTGGGGTTATAGGAAGGGAACGGCGAAATATTCGAACGAGTGATAGACCGGGAAAGCTTTTCGGGCTGGATGCGCGGACACGCAACGCAGCTAAGTTTAAGTACGGCATTTAGACACTACGATTAAGGCCGGTTGGTTTTCGTTCGTTACTAGCTTGTCCTATAGCACACACATATACCGATGCAGATTTGGTATCTGACATTGCATTGCCGTAGTATCTTAGTTGCTGTGCCTGCCTATGGCAAAATGAATATACGCTAAAAAAATGTTATACCGTACAGCAACATCGTTCTCAGATAAATAAAGGATGAGCATTTCAATAATCTAATCGCAGGCAGTATACATCGCGACACCATAATAATGCTCAATGAAGATCGAGGTTGTCCGTTTCGCCGAACTGCCAAGTTATCTACAGAAGAAATAGCGACGGTAGCTCAAGTTGATTTATTTCAAAATTCTACATCAACTTTTTCTTGAGATAATAATGATTGTGGTAGTAATGGCAAAGATTTAGTGAAGCTATAGAAAAGCTTCGTTGTGTTTCTTAATATATTTTATCATCTATTCTGTTCCGTGAAATATTTGTGTAGACGTTCAGCTCTGTGTACCATCACTTCCCTCTAGGAATTTTGTGCGACATATAATGGGTGAATACGGTTCCTTGAACGAGGCATCTATGAAGCGTGAGCCTGGTCGAATACAAAGCCATTGCGCTAATGATCACGGCGTATCAATCACAAGGTTCAAGCCTTTTAAATTTCACACCTTTAGAGAGAAAACCTTGATCTACGGAGTCGCAAGTTTCATCATGTCGTTCTGTTTGCAGTAGTTAAACCGCGTTCACTAATCGGAAGAACCGCTTCTATAGAAAGTACATACACAGTATGCTAATCGCTATTGTAGCTTCCTGCTGCGTTTTCTAACACTAAAATCACCAACGAAGAGGTGTTCCCGGGTCACTCCGGTCACAACGTCGGACCGAATCCAATGTCGCCGTACCAAATTTCTCTATTCCGGTACTTGAAACGAGTCGTTCGACGTTCTTCGTGTCTTGCCGACATGAAGTGTCTAGTGTTTGTTGTTTCGTGGTATCGAGACGCAACCATCGTCACTGATGAGCTCATACGTACCTCGTTTGAGTTTCTCTCGTGTGTCCTCATCGAATAAAAAGAAACTGAGCTAAAACTGAGTTATTCGGACCCTGCGCTCAGTCAGGTGATAGGCTTCTACCGCTACTGCGCTGAATCTGCGATGCTGCCACCACAGCATTGACTTCGTTTAAGTCATCTCAAGCAGGATGTATTAGATGCCGTCTAGCCTCCGACTGGTTACGGTCGTGACTCGGAACATCTCTGATCTCTCGCTGAAACTACAGATGCAGCACTCATAATAACAAGAACAGTGTCTACAGGAGCCACGTCGAGAATAAAAACGACGTGAAGCAAAATACAACATAATCTTCATTCTGTTCTCTTCTATCTAAGCGAGTTTCTTGATCCCGCTGTGGCTGTTGTTGCCAGTGCTTTTTAATATCTTAGAAGCGGCTACGAGGGGCAGGCTAGAGGTCCTGTACTTCATTTGTCGTTATACTGCTTACGGCAGCAGGCTCTAAATGAGAGCCGCAACAAACATAATCATTTGTGGTAGTTACCGATTGCTCATTCCACGCGCCATGTCGCGTCCGTGTCGAAGTTTTGCTACCGCCAGAATCTCAAAGCGGACATCCCATCCCTTTTCTCTCTTCGGAAATTATTAAAAAGATTTAATTAGGATCTTGGGGAAAAAATCAAAAACACCCTGCCTTTTTCACTTTTTTTTCTCGTACTCCTGCTCGGTTTGGTCCGTATGAAATATCGCTTATTGAGATAAGCTTTGTCTTGTGTGTTCTGACCATAAAAGTATCGAAAACACAAATAATTACCTCTTCAATTTTAGCTCGCCCCTTTTCGAACGCTACCCGTTATTCTGACCGGTTGAAGATAGATATTTTTAGCAATTAGGATCTCGTTGCCGCTACCATACACAGTTCCATTGTGATGCTTTAGGCTGTCACTTTGGATTCACGATTCTACTGAAGTATTCAAATCGTATCTGAATAAATTCGAAGATATTTGCAGGAGGAACTCCAGCTCTGAAGTCGAACCTAGGCTGATTCAGTGCAACTATCGCGGGTCCTTGCTAAATTCTTTTTGCTGCTCTTTGATACATCGTAGTTACTGCCGTTAAAGCCCGGCGTTGTTATTATCATTGCTGGTTGCAGTAGGCGACCGAGGGATAAGGTCACAAATAGTCAACAAAGACAGCCAGCGGTCATCAGCTAATAGTGACGAGGGACATGCTTCTCTTCTGACAGATAATTTTGCTACGGAATCGCGGATCAGGTCCGAGTAAAAGTGACTGCTGAACTTTTCAAAGTTTGTCCTCCATCGTGCCAGGTGTTGTACAAGAAGTTCTCATTTGTACATTGTGAAACCGGTAGACGTGTTCTTCACAGTTACAATCGCTGAGAGGTACGGAACGGTCCTAGTGACCAACGTTAGGATGAGCAGGCCTCTTGGTGATACCTGATTTAGTGATTCGATTCATACTAGTAGTAGTAATAATAATAACAATAAGAATTCGCTTATATATTGCACATTCACGCATGCTTTATAACGGATACGTTAATATTGTTTCCCGAAACGTATTTACATTTACGTACATTACTTTTCTTCTACCTTACGTCTTGTGCCTCGTCTCGGGCCCCAAAGAGGCCCGTAAAATACGTTGTTCGTCTACCAACAAAAACGCACGTGGGACGCACTACGAGTATGCATCATATATTAGATAAATACAAGACAATTACTTGAGATGGTAGTTCTGGCTGCTGATAATGGCGAAGAACATTATACGATAAGTTAGAGATAGGGTTGTTCACAATCTTAGCCCAGAGAAAACGCCCGTTAGGAGCAATCGGGCAAAGTTGCCACCGCGAAGCTATTGTTGTCGTCAATCTGCTGGTTGTTGTTTTTGTTGCTATGCATTCTATTATGTCATTGCTTTTTGCAGAAGCGCCAACGACGGCGAAACGGCCGAACGCGGCGAAATGGAGTGTAACGAGGGAACAGCCGATCGTCTTGGCTTGCCCAGCAACGAAACGAGTAGAAATCATAGCATGTATTATTATTATAGTAGATACATACAGTTGATAAAATTGCTCCCACCGTTTGCTCGATAGTTGGCTAGGGCCGTCGCCGCGGCCGTTGTCGCCTCTGCTACCATAAGGAGATGCAGTAAAAAGGAGATAATATCTACTTTTTTCGATGTCGCTGCGTGTGTGTGTATTGGTGTTTATATATCGACGTGTTCTATGTAAGCAACTGCGAATTTGGACGTAATTATGCACCTGTTTCAGTTGATAGGCACTGGTAGTAGATTCGTGTGGATAGCGACGTCAATTCAACGGCAAATGCTTGTTATTCTGGCCTTATATGTAAGAGACCCATCAAGTGCAATCTTAGCACCAGCAAGAAACACAACCAGCGGCAGGAGGCCCGCAGAAAGGAATAACCAGTCAAAGCGATATTGGCGTGTATTTCCAAATGTGGGAGACAGTTTGCCCTTGTGCGTGCGTGCGTGCGTGCGTGCGTGCCTCATGGATCGGCTGTCTACTAGCCCGTTTGCATGTCTGCCCAGTTGATTTCGGGTCGCACAGATGCATAGCCGGCTTGACGGACCGGCAGTCTGCGAATCTTCACTGTCACTCATACTATTAAAACTCGCGTCGTCATTACCGTAGCCGGTAGCTATAGGCGCTCGAGGGATAGCGCCACAGATGTTGAGAGAGCCACACACAGCCGGTCGTTATTAGCTGATCCTGACAAGGGACCAACTCCTCTCTTGACGGAACGTGTGCTTTTTGTCACGGCCGCTGCTGTGGTCACGGCCAGCAAAAAAAGAAAGAGCAAAAGCTGCGGTAGCGATTGGCTCATTGGGACAATTATAGAAAAAGGACCAAGATAATGCGCGGCTTATGCAGCAATTGTTGTCGTTGCTGTTGTCACTGCTGCTTTCGCCGCTACAGTTTTGCTGAATCGAACAGGGAGCGTAACGGGCGTGTGGTAGCCCTGTTCGAACTGGAATGGTCCAATTCGTCCACGATAGGAGGAGCGCCTTCACCATGATTAAGGTCCACTGATGATGTTCAACATTAGCGATTATAGCACATCTCGGACAGCGGCAGGACTAGCAGAGGCAGCAGAAACAACAAGAACAACAGCAACAACATCACGTTCTCTATCGTTGTAATACCTGAATGGATACATTTTAACATGCAAGAAAAGGTTGTTTTTGCGAAAAACGGCTCACTATCAGGAGCTGATTAGCGGAGTTATTATTTATCACTATATATATATACTCTATTAAGAAAAATGTTTCTATTTTATCAGATGCCACATATCAGAACGTAGACTTTTCAGATGAGCTCCTATGTAATTTGTGTACAAAAAAAACACAGTCTAATGTGCGCCACTTGAAATTTCCATCAAACACAATAGATAAGGTTTATGAATTTATTTCTGCTGGCGCACCCTTTCGCTTCTATTCCCTTCTCTCCGAACAAATAGCAGGTAACCGAAATCTGAGCGTTAGACGCCTGTCTGAAATATGCTATATATAAAATGCTATACTCAGTCTGGATGCAATACGTATTAACAAGTGTGATCTCAAAAAATAGATGGTACTTTATAGCATTTATCGCTGCGTATTTGATACGGCTTTTCGTCGCCAAAATGAAAACCAGACCTATGTGCAACCTATAGGGAAACGGCATGTATGTTAGCTTCCCAGATTGAGCAATTTTGCAACACACCATTAGAACGTCTATCTGAATATAACGAATATTAGAACGTCCAGTTGCATGACTCCGATAAAACGTACCATTGCTTCCTTTAATATCACAGTATGAAAAGTTACGAGTGTGCGCCATGTTGTGTAACGTTCAACCAAGGAGAAATTTTAGGAGGTAGAAAACTGTGGATTTTTGAAATTGTATTAGTCGCCAAATTGACGAGTCAAAACGACGTCCCATACTCTTTCGTTTGCAAATTAGCAATGGCAATTGTCTGAAACCTTTTTCGTTCTAGCCCCTTCGTCCGTTATCAGTTCACCTTGTATATCAGGCCACAAGCTGAAATGCAATACCACGCGGATCACATATCTTCTGTTGTACGTTCTCTCTTTGAGAGCAGCAAAGATAGTTTCTTGCAAACGCTCAATACAGACGAAAAACAACTGATATCAATACAAAAACAAGACGTTTCGTGAACTGTGGTTCTAGTGCTCATGAAACAGGCAAATCAGCGTGGCAGCTCTCACTGTTAGCTTGCTCCCCGGTTGTCCTTGTTGTTTTAGCTGAACTAGCCTCTGGTGATACAATAGGTAGAGTTGTAGTTACAACCCTCACCGATGTCATCGCTTCTGCTATTTTAGCTGCTCTATTGACGCTCTGAACAGTGTACGTAGTCGCAATTTGACCGATTACCAATTATCGACAACCAGCGCGATATCTAATTATTACGCGGCAATAATCGCACGCGAACATGGCACCACTACCACTACAACTGCTGCTATAGGCACCAGCGTGGTACGTCGATTCGACGCCATAGCAACGGCCATTGCGACCATAGCACTGAGCATTGCTACCGGCTTAGCGTAGAAAAGCCGGAGCGTTCCGTATCCTCTTGACTGTGGAAGCAACAACAACAGCAGCGACGGCGGCTACGGTAACAGACCGTTACTACCTTCTAATTCTCGCCCCGTTCGCCGCTTTGCTCTATCACTTGCTGGCTGATGATCGGATCTATCGGTGGCGAAGTTCCATCAGTCCGAAGGTAAAAAAGTCGACGAAGACGACGAAAAAAAAGTAGACGAAGAAGACACATTGCCTTCGTTTCGTCTGGTCTGGCCCGAACCGCGCGCCTTCTTCGTCTCGTGTTTTGCTGTGTCGTTTTTATTAGGGTACTTCTCGAAGTTTTTGTTGCTATCGTGATACCGGTGAGCGGCAGACGCTGCCAGCAGACTTCTTCGGATCGAAGGTTTATCTAGTAAATACATGCGGAATGTATGCAGCGGATGGGACGGCCATCGGAGCATTGCGGTCGACGTATGTCGTTCGTAGGTCCACAGGCGCTACGTGGTGCTACGTTGTCGTCTGCTAACGTTAGCGTCTTGCTGAAGTGGATGATCAGAAGGCAGGAACGTTGATAATAAATCAGATCACTTTGTCATACAACAGTAGAAGCTGTGCGTACTAATCGTACAGTGTCATCGTTAATTAAATGCTTATGTTACTGGGCTATAGTAGGTGTACGAGCAGCGTTTCGATGAGCTCGTATACTAACATGCAAAACCGGATTAGGTCGGCCGACGTCTTCCTTTACTTCAGTTTTATTGGCATCGGCTGGCCGGTTAGTTAGGTGGTTTGCTGTGTCGGGATAATTAAATATGCGGACCAATCGGACGTTTCGTACTGGGCTCTCATTTAGTAGTCCACTCTAGTAACAAAAACGGGAAAATGATGCTTCTTGTCTATATAATGCTTAATTGATTATCATTCGCTGTGAAACCTTTCTAGCCTAGAGAAAATTTAGGAGTTTCGACTGTGTGAGAAATTGCGGGCGCCTTGGAAATGGGCAATTTGTAAAAAGCTCTATCAATCCAATATACAATGTAAATGTGGTGCATAGGCAAAAAAGCTATTTCGAGTAAAAGTAAGGCATAGCTAGATTAATGGCCGTTTACGCGCTTGATATCTAGATCTATGTAGAAAAGGCTAGTTGAAAAGCTCAATTCGACCCTTCAGTCTATTGATAACTGTAATGCATTTGTGTATTACATTATTTTTTTCGTAAATTGCCAATAGCTCAATTAGCTGAAAGTATCAATGTATGTAAAACAAATTAAAATTAAAAAAAAAAAGATAGACTTGCGGCTTTGGCGGTCACTTCTGAAAAGGTGAAAGCAAAACGATCAAAAACCATTCTGGCAATAGCGAATGTTATTCCGCTGCCCTTTTTTTTTTTTTATAACACTCGTTGTAGCAATGACAACTTTGTTCGCAATAGCTTTAGCAATATCTGAGGTGATTGAATCATAATTTTTGAAATTCTACTCAGAAATTTACTAAGTCACTGCTATCGGCCTTCAGAAATCAGTTCACCCTCTACGAATACTTCGTAATCTGTAGTGCCAAAAATTTAGCGATTCTTTTTGAAGCATGTATATATATGTATATATATATATAGACAACCAAATTGATTGTCTTCCAGTATCAGTGTTCAGCGTTCATGCAAAACCGGGAAGCGTACACAAACAAAGCGAAAAGTGGCAAGTGCCTGTCACTGTCCAACAGTCGTCGAACGAGTTGTAATTAACGGTAAAATAACGAGCTGTCTGTATGTATATATGTGCCTTATGCTCTTCGCTTGTTTCGTTAAATGTCGCTTGGCTAAACAGGCCAGCTAGTCAATAACATTTAAACTGTCACGTTGCTATATCACAATTGATCCGCCTCTTCTTCACCAATACTTCACATGTCTGATAAGCCTGGTCTCGAACGAACGTTTCATATGTGTGCACACACACGAACCTTTAATGGATGTTGCAAGTCTAACCATGTTGGTCAAGTGATGCTTCATGTCGTCACCGGATGATAGATTTATGCTAGTGATGATTGCACCCGTGTAGCTAGCTGTACATGCAGCGGTAAGCGAGGTCTCCTCCAGGAAACAGGACGGAACCAACTCAACAACGAAGGACTTTGATAAGAAGAAGCAGAAGTAAATGAAAAAGGAAGCTTGCCGACGTTCTCTTGGCCCGAAGTCGATAATGTCACTCGATTTCCAGCGGTTGGCAGGATCGATTATCGTCTATATCTAAGCCAGCAGGCGATATTCATCAGCGTGTTGTTGCACGCTAGGCCATCACTATGTTTGCGACATCTAGCGCCATCACCAAGATGGTCAAAGATCATCAGAATCACACTATAGTTGTGCTGCTATTGCCGCTTGTTTTCGTTGCTGCTATTATACACTGCGATTACGGATAGGTGCTGTTAATATTGCCGTCTCCAATGGCGATGCGTATCCCGGTTCCGCATCGTCATGACGTTGTCAATCCATGTGTCGCTGACTTCTCTGTCCTACCTCAGAGCCAACGGTCGCAAAAGATCGGTCGCCGTCTTCTCTTCGCGAATGTCTCACACGTCGCAAAAAGCAAGATGGCTTCGTAAGAAGGTGCCAGCATTTGTTATCGACGGCGACGACGACTGCAAGAAGAGCAGCAGCAGCAGCCGCAGAAGCCTTTACGGCTTCTGCGGCTGCTGGTGCTCAAGCCTGACGGTGACATCGAGAACGAACGTCAAAAATGGTAACTTGATCGGAGGATGATTCTCGCTGCTGCCACCAATGCTGCTGTCGCTGCTGTTACTCACGCCGTTTGACCTTTTTCTCCATCTGCTAGGCCGGTCCGTTGGGTGAGTGCAGCAGCGGCAGGAAGGGCCAGAAATCCAGCTTCACTGCGTTTGTCTGACTTTTACTATGAGATCATTCAGTAATAGATAAATTAAAAATAGACGCTGATTTCGCTGAATAGATATAAAAGGCGTCTAGCTGGATCCTATTGGTGCGTACCAGCGACAACGACAGCGATTTCAAACGAAACGTTTAGGGCTTGAAGCCGGGGCTCGTAGTAGCACGGTAAAAGCGTGAGAACTCGTAGTATCTAAAATCGTAACTGCTATACGTTGGCTAATTGCAATTATTACGAGGGGGCCTCGATTGCAAGTAACACTGAAGCCGATCTACCAGGAGAACGGAGTCATAAGCGTTGGCTGTACTGCCGGTAATGCGTGGAGCAATCATTGTTACAGTTATACAACCATTACTGGAGGAGTGGTTGTAGAAGTAGTACTTTACCTTATCCCCATCCGTTACTCGCCATATTGATAGCAGAGACCGACCCCATTTCGTTCTTAGCAGACTCTTTTCTTGCCTCGCTGCTGCTGCTACTGTTAGTTTCGAATTTACCATACATTTTTTTACCGGTTACGTCGCCAACAACATAATCCAGTGAGAATTAAGTACAGCAGACCCCATCTATCTTCTTCATATATCACCTATCCATCCATCCATCCATCCATCCATCCATCTATCTATCTATCTAACTCGCCTGGCGGGATCGATTGTAACTCTCTGGACAACGTGGAGGAACAAAGGATGCGCGTCGCGAGCCGCGCTCTTGTACGTGTGAACAGACACGGAATCAAATAGCGAGCAGGCAGTGACGTGAGAGAGCTAGCAACTAGTCACTATTGATCAACTGCAATTGCTGCAGCATGTATCCAGCCAAGGCTCTCTAGAAGGACTGACTGAGCAACGGTCTGTGCTCAAGCGTCCCTAAGGGATGATCTCGATTAAATGAGAAATCGAAAGAGAAGATCTCTACAAACCGTTAACGCTTTCACCATCAGCATCGGGATGCTATCAGCATTATTTGGGGATGAACATGATTCGAACAGATCAGTGACAGATGTGTTTCACCGTACGTAGGTTGCCTACGTTGGCTGAGAGCTGCGATGACTTCGTCGACTTTCTCGTTGTTGTACGTAGTGACAACTTAATGCGCCAGCTTCCCTCATGCTTTGTACTTCTTTATGGCATAATGATAATCAAATGACAAAGAGACGCTTGAAGAGGTCAATCACAACAGTGTCGTTTCCCTATCCGTAAGGAGATCTTGACCATACTCCAACTACCTGCCACGTGCCATTGGTAATAATGAGTGGAAACGGTCACTAACCCGAAGGAAATCAGGCTACTGCTGCTGTTGCTTATTAGATGAATCACTCGGCTGTGCTAGCGATCCATTTTTGTTCATGCCGCTGGATGCAGTTTACGTTCGACAATATACAATTTCTCTACGGCCTGCATAGAGATTTCTAGCCCTCTCGCTAATTCCTTTACACATTGAAATAGTACTTGGAGTAGTACTTTGCACATATTGGGCCTAGCGTTGTCGGATCTAACACGTCAGACAGCCCAGCGCTTTTTTTTTAGAGTAGTTCTTCGCTGGCCATTCTGGAGAGCCCCCGTCGCTTAGCAAATTGTTTCTTCCAATACATCGAGCTTTTCGGGAACTTAAATTGGATGCGAATATGTCAATTACCGATTTTCCGTATAACCGCTGGCGTGTTGCTATCGGAAATTAAAGGGCACCCAAAGTTATTGAGCAGATCGAGTAGTGTGCGTGTCTGGGAGTCATTCAATTTGTCAGCCCTTGTGTTTAGATCAGCAGAAAATAGAAATGGCGTAGCGAGTGAAAGGAACGCATGCATACGCTCATCTAAGACGACTGGAATTTTCTAAACATAAACAAATATATTTTGGCTAGTGAATAGTTTCTTTTTTTTTATGAACTGGCATACCGAATGCTTTAAACATGAGTGCCTCATGAGATGTGCTTGTTAAGGAGACCCACCGAATAATTTCGTAAACACCTAAGTAAACTTATTGGATCCATAGGAACAAATTTTAGCTTTGTTTCTTCACATCCGGAAAGCAACTATGGCTATCGTGCTAGGGCCAGACATTAATCTTTCTGATGGTAAGTGGTCTAAGATAAATAATTCACCCCATCAAATAAGAAATCCGCTTTATAATATTGAATTTTTTCTGTTTCAGTGAATTGGCATTTGGTTCCGTAGAGCAATTGCTTGATAAGTTGGAATCAGTAGAAGACACAAAAGGCAATCCTGGCGAGCGAGGCAAGATCTTTATTAGCAACATGCGGCTGATCTGGCAAAGCCACACCAAGCCTCGCGTAAACCTTACCGTCGGATGGGCCTGTGTAACAGGTAGGTGCATGTTGTATCTACACCTTTCTCCAGCACTTATATATATTTTACTATCTGTAATAACATACAATTGAATGTTGCTCATCTGGGCTTTTAGGAATTAGTTTTCCCCGATCCTGTTATTTTTTCCGCTCACAATTGAGTTGAGTTGCGAATTATTCTGCGAAAACTAGTAGTTTTTCAAATTCTTAGTAGTTTTTATTTCGTCCATGAAACCCAAAACAGCCGGGATCCGAGCCAGTGTCATACTATTTCATGCCGAAAGTGTGTCATACTTCGTTGCACATCACTGAGCAGTGACCTCGAAAAATCGTAGAGTTCACTAACGCTATCCAGGTCTCGTAGAACATGGCTAGCGTTCTCGGCAAGGCTTTAAATTGGCCATTTTAAAGGCTTATGATTTTTTGGGATGTTAGTATAGAGTAGATTAAGCTTTTCACGAAGCCGATTGAATCGGCATCCTGTTAGTGTGTATGTGCGTGTGTTCGACAGTTTCAGAGAAACAACATCTGGGGGCGCCAGGTAATGAATTTTTCTAGTTGATACCTTTTCTTGTTTACTTCTGAGCCAATTCAATAGCACATAGTTTATGACGGGTATAAACTGCTGCGAAGACGTTAGTCGACTGAACATAAAATGCCATTCAGTTTTGTTTTTTTTTTCTAATCTGTATTCTCAATGTGAGTGTTCGGTAATATATAATCTTATTTTGATTTTTGTAGTTATTCATTTACAGCACTCGTCTTATGGAGCAAACGAGTGATCACGATTACGCATGCGCTCTAGTGACAGACATATTTTGGCACATTCTTTAATGCAGGTATTTCAAGTCGTTCCGTCAACTCAGCTCTAAAAGGCCTCACGGAAGCGCTCTATTTGATGACTAGACTAAACAACACCAGGTTAGACATCACTTGCGATGAAAATTTAATTGGGAAGTATTAGCGCATAGGCTGATGGCACTAAGATTCGCAGGATCCACAGAGTACGGAAATAATATTAAGATGGAATAGTTAGTAAGAGGCAAAACAAAGTCATTATTTTCTCTTCACAGATTCGAATTTATCTTCACTAACCTGATGTCGGGAACTCCTCGGCTGGTCGCGTCTGTACTAAACGTATACAAGACTTATAATGCAACTCGACTATACAGAGAACTTAAGCTGCGATCAGCTATTATACATAATCGCGCCCTAAAGGTAAGCCAGTAGATGGTTCTGAACAATTGAAATTATGCGATAATTCACTTACTTGGAAGTAGCCTGTAACAGCAGATAACGTAAAATACCTTTGTTGCGGAGCTGCGGCCTCTAAACTTGTTGAAGTTTCACATGTTCAGAGCTATAGTGCTTATTTATAACTTATCCAGTTATTGGCATAAATCATGTGATACAGGGCAGTCTTTCATTTGAAATGTACCACTTAGCTTATCCTCGAAGCGAAATATCGGAAGACAAGGCTTGAATATGTTGCAATGGTCCATATTTCAAGCATATGTGTGTCTACCTAATTTCGAAAAATTCGTGCTACTAGAATTAGTACAATTAATTCAACAGTTATCGTTTCAGCTTCGAGGAAGATCAATAGCACTGGACATTTAATCACGATGTTATGTCTGTAGGTACTGCAATTAGAACGAATCATCAGCAAAATCAATGGCGTCTGGAATCTTAGCTCGGATCAGGGTAATTTAGGGACATTCTACGTTACTAACGTACGAATCGTGTGGCACGCTAATCTTAACGAGAATTTCAACGTCTCTCTGCCATATATTCAGGTACGGACGAATCAACAATAAAGTCACGCACTCAGTTCATTAGTCACATCCAGCTTCAGCTTGAAGCGCGAACGGAACCAACATAACACTCTGCTAATAGAAAATTTGACAGAATAATTTTACATTATAGGCGTATTTGTCAAGTTGTTGAGTTGAAAAACTATTTATAAAAAAAATCCCCATCCATTCAAATATGACTTAGCTGACGCACCTGCCTCAAAGTCATTATGTATTCGATACGAGGAGTTCTGTTGAGATGTTGGCCATCGTAAAATTGGTTTGTAAATTTACCCGCTTGGCATGCAGCTGCCACCGCAGGTTTAGGTTCCCTGTGTAATATAAAGCATCCGACAGCCATGTTAAATGTAAGTTTTCATGGCGTTGTGATTCCTATTGTTAGCATAGCGTGAGTATATCATGTCTTTTGAAATATCTGTGCATTTCTTTAACGTGTTCATTCTGCTATGACACTACTAATGTGTGTAATACATTAACAAAGGCCGGCATTCCTTATAAGGTCCGAAGTGATCTTGTCGAATAGTAATTGGCAAACTTCTGTATTGTCTATAATCTTAATCTAACTGTGGGCGATAGTATCCGAGCTCTCTGATCGTTCGGAAATCCCGCGACGGTACTAGCGAAATCGAATCGTTGTTCAGTAGGTTCGACACTCATCAGGATCCCGTCGTCCGAAGAACATCAAATTTTAAACTTAGTAATCACTTCACAGTATACCTATATACTATGAAGAGCCTATGCAACGCAAACACAGAAATTGTCTTAGATTATAAGAAACGTCTCGCTTCACTATACGAACAAACGACCATCCATCAACCATGATTTCGACCAACGGGGCAATGGTAGTACACGACCTACGCTTCTAGCAATCTATAACCTAACATTCATATCGCATAGTTGCCCATCGATAAAACTGTGATCTATAACTACATCTGGGAGGTGTACATCGACAGAATATTTTTACTGTTCACGACAAGCGTCAGAACACAGTCTTAAAACAGTGTCTATCGGTACTCTTCACTGGTTAATGAGAATGAAGCGGAATTGAACTCTACGCTGTATGATGCACCTTTCAGTGAGTGAATCGACTCGTTCAGTTGTCATAGAATGAAGACTGTCATTCAGAATAGTTCGAAGGGGTTTAAAACGTGAAACTGACTAGAATCGATCTGAGGGACCTTGTGCTGTCTTGATTGCTGCTCACGGCGATCACCTGTCATATTTCACCCGACACAACAGACTACTTGTCTCTTAGCTTTGGTCTAGTTCAAACGAAGCTGCATCGTTGATGTTTTCTTTTGAGAGTCATCTAGTATGAGGCAGACTGTGCTGTTACTCGCGCGCCATTACAGGTAGCAAGTCTTCGATCACGTGAGTCGAAATTTGGCATGGCGCTGGTAATAGAAACGACCGAATGGAGTGGAGGCTATCTATTAGGTAAGACGTAAGATGGCTTTTTAAGAAGCAAAAATATGCCATCTGGTTATGAGTTTTCATTTGACTTGTTGGCAGATTTGGCACTAGAGAAGTTTTCTTTTTATTGCTTATGGCTATTCGTTGCTAGCTGTGCTAAGCTACATGGCTTATTTAAGTAACTGGTATCGTTGCTGATCTTAACCATCGTCCAGGGTTTAAGATTGATCCGCCTGAGAAGTTAAAAGAAGTATTAAAAGAACTTCGTAGCGTATGCAAGGTGCATCGGGAAAAGCCTATCTGGGGGGTCGATGAGACGACACTGCAAACAACGCAGAAGGCTACCATGGAACTTATCAATGAAGGTAGGCCGTATTTGTATTCTTTTTTTTTTCTATGTTTACTTAATAATTTCTATTGTTAAATGATAGGTCATCCTTAACAGCATAACGTTTTGAGAATCCAATTTGTAGTTCTCCCAGAAATTGACCCCATTCCGCATGAATAAGCAAGGCATATGCTAAGGACTCGTTTAATGCGTTCTACAGAAGGCAGTATTGGAATGCCGACACTAATTGAAGATGACGAAGTGTCTCAACAGGATATTCCACCCGACCTCTTAGCAGCGTACTATGTTGACGGTGGCTTGGAAGAGGATCGGCAAATCGTTTACGCCGAGGAGTTAGGATTAGCTGTGGAAGCTTTGACAGAAGGCTACACGCTCAAGAGCCTCTGGGAAGTTATACCCAGCTAAGAAACTACCGCAGATTAAAATCTGACTCCATTATAAATGAAGAGAATCTAAAACAATTAAAATCGAGAGTAAAAATTAAAAAATACATATAGTATGTATAGAATAGCCTTGGATCTGGGTTCTTAAGATCTCTCTAAGTGATGCTCTCAGAAACTGGCTGTACCCAAAGCTCTCCAATGGTTATAATGAATATGTAGTGACAAATATGATACAACGTCACGAAATACAGCAAGAGTACAATCTACTTTATTTATTTTAGAGTTGAAAATACTTGTAAACATACCTGAACTAAGCAAGAACGTTAGAACAGTGAAGCATATATACGTTCAATCACACGATATACATGTACATTCATATATACACACGAGGAAATCAAATGTAAGAAGAAGCAAATAACCGTATTATTACTGATGGTAGTCATAGGCGAGCAGCAGCACTAGATATATATATATATATATATATATATACTGGAACGGTTCCGTTAAACGATTCCGTAATTACGTTCGTTCTTCAACGTCGCAGGAGATACTCACTATGGTTATGACAGTAGCAGCAGGATGACTCAAACGCGCAAAATCACTGAGAGGATTTGAAGTCTTTATGTCCCGTTCGTCAAAGTCGCCCATTGAACAGTACCTACAGCCAGCATTGAAGAGAAGAAAAACTGTAATTAATGTGGGGCGACCAACCACGACAACTTGATACGATATCGAACACACGATGCGATGACTGACCATAACCACATTGTCGGCAAATAGGCGACGATAAGAAAGAACCGCAACGAAAATCGCTAGGCCGAAAATGCGGCAGGCGCATTCGGCTGTGGAAAAGTCTACCGAATGCACATAACTCATACCGCTTAGGCACAGATATTAGCAATGCGTTAGGCGCGAACTACCTGCAGGTTACAATCCGGCGATGGTGCTACCGTGAAAACTGGTCACGCAATGGGCACTTGAACTTTTGCAGGAAAACAGAGAACGTAGCCACATTTATCAGCAGAGACAATTTTAATACACACATGCACAGACAAGCGTTTCTATGTGTACGTGATAATACACGATCTAATAGATCACGTTATGATAACCTAGACTGAGATTATTAGCCTGAGGATAAAATGTGACAATTGCAGTTTTGAGAACCGAAAAAAGCGCGCCGCCAGGACGGGTGAAACAGTTTTACGAAGTCGATGCTGTAGTAATAAAATCTGCGATGTCGAGCGAGCTTGAATTTCTCAATTATTTTGAATATTGTGGTAAACTCTATAAAAGTTGGCTAATAAAGTGTTTTGTTGTGATCTTATAAGGGAGCAGAAGTTGCGCAGCTGTTCGAATAAAGTAAGCCATGAACGGTGCATGGATGTAGACTTTTAGGTATTGTACAAACGATTTACGTAAGCATCACACAATAAACGTATAGAATATTTCACTTAAGAGCACTTATATTCTAATATATGGAACTCGATTACCGTTAAAAAATGATTTGTAAATAATGACTATATTGCAAAATCTGAGGACTTCCGGCGAGACTCACAAAATTCGTCTGCTCTAATATTAAGCTAAAAGTCGCGACTACCCACATAGATTCTACCGGACATCAAGACAAACAAATTGATCGCTTTAGAAGTTACAATGGATGTAATCTAGGTTGCATTTTACCCCGTAGATGTTGATGCACTTAGCACATTTCTTTTCATGAAATTGGTTTCCTTGTATTCTAGCTACTCTGTGTAGATGATTGGAACACCAGAACATAAAGAGTCGTCCTCGGTTGCTGTAAAAATCTCGTAGACTTGAGAATACACGCAGGGCTTTTTTAATTGTTGAGAATTTCCTCATTATGATTAAGAGTTATGAATTTTGCGCCAAAACTTACATTTATGGACTATTTAAATAACTCTCAATGCAAAATACTGCACCTAAGACTCAACTTTCTCTGCAAAAAAGAAGTTGATAAAAACTATGTTTCTACAATCACACTATTTGCATGAAATCATCAGAATAACTTCCTAGTAGCGTCTGAAAATGCCTCAGTAATCACTTAACCGTATCCGAAAAATTATTCGCAAGTATCATTTTGTCATTCCAACGGCCGTTACCATGTTTTTAATCTCAAAGCAATATGATTTTTTTTATAACATATTCAGCCTGAGCTACACAAGGCAAGCATGCCTGGGCATCTGCTGAAACACAAATTAGAAACTCTAATACATAATGGTAGGAGCAGTTCATGTGATTGATGGAAAATAGATGCAATCTTTGTTCTACCTGGGTCAACTTATTTCCATTTCTAACATAGTTTCACTGGTCAGTTGTGTTAAAACAATATATTTGTACACCGTAAATATGCAGCCGCATCTGAGTTTTACTGAATTAACTGAATATTTTTCTACCATGCACGCCGTATATAAACCGAATTGGTTTAGCCTTGTACATCAGCCAATAAAGAATAAAAAAGAAGATTAATAATGCTGATAAAGGGAGTATGTCGTCAGGCACGATTATTTTTCGAGAGTTTCCACTTGATATCTTCTTTTGCCCGCCTGTTACATTCATTTATAGTGTCAAACTCCGCCGAATCAGCTTGCTGCTGTTTACATTCCACGACAGCATGCTATATGTAATAGGAGTTTTGTGTTCGGTAATGTTGTCAAATTACATGATCAAATGCCTCATAACGACGACAACGAAAAAACAAACAAGAACAAAAGAGATAACCATCTGGAAAGATAAGACTGTCGCCAATTCAGATGTAGAAACGCTTCAACATTCGCAAGCAGTGCTGCTGTCGCTGCTACCGCCAGTCGATATGACGCGTTTTGTACGGCGTCCGTTACCTTGCTACTCATATGTAGGTTACCTAGACGTGATATCTGCGCGAACTGGCGAAAAAGGCAAAATATAGTGGAAACCTTAGAGATTGTTGCCAGCACAGATTATATTACTATACGGCAGACTTCACACAAGGGTCACATGGAAAAATCGTTGTCATAATTAGTCACGTAGATTATTCTTGGCGTTGCAATAGAACCAGAATGTAAAAGCAAAAAAATGCCAACTTTTCAAGCATACTAACTCATACCCAATACAGAAAAGGTCTTTAGAAAAAAAAAAAGATGTAACAACATCAGATGGATTACATACGTTATCCGAACGGTGAACGGTTTGAATAAACAGTAAGTAATTATAATTATGCATTTTTGAAAACTGTTTAAACAGATAAATTTATCCTAACCTATGCTTCGTTAAAAAAAGCAGATTTTCACCGCACATGCTTTACCGATCAAAGGGAAATAAACATGACCTTTTTTGCGTACAACGAATTATTTGAATTTTCCAACAGCATTTCAGACGCAACTAGTAAGCACATTTCTAAAATTCGATTATCGCTTTATTACTTTGGAAACAAAAGAAGGACTGATATATATAAAT